CGCCGCTCCTCCACATCGAGAGGAGCCCGTTGAGGTGGCTTGGGCATCTGATTAGGATGCCTCCTGGATGTCTCCCTGGTGAGGTGTTCCAGGCATGTCCCACCGGGAGGAGGCCCAGTTTGAGACCCAGGACACGCTGGAGGGACTATGTTTCTCGGCTGGCCTGGGAGCGCTTGGGATTCCCCCAAAGAAGCTGGCCCAAATGGCTGGGGAGAGGGACGTGTGGGCTTCCCTACTGAAGCTGCTACCCCGCAACCCAACCCCGGATAAGTGGAAGAAGATGGAAATCATTTAATTATTTGATTTATGTAGTATGTATGTAGTACACTATCTTCATCATTGTAAGACAACAATGGACCAGATGACATAATTCTGCCAGGAACAACAGGAGAAAAGGCGCTTACTAAACTCAACCTTTATTTAAAAGGTTGAGACAAAACTAAGGTATGCTGGAATAGAAGATCACTGTAGCTGGAAACTTTGAACTGATTATAGGTATTGCTATTATTGGTTGTTGAAAATGACAAAAGACATAATGATCCCTAAAACCCTATTTAAAAACTGAAAAAAAAAACAGGTTAGGTGATCTTGACAACAACACTGCCTCACACTAAATATGCATTCAGCAACAGTGGATATATAAATATATATATAAAACCACAATTAAAAAGTGACTAAATTAACATATTATGGCATGTGTATTTTAAAAAATAGAAATTCAAAAGCCTCCATAAAGGCTTTGCATCTCTTACTTCTTGCGACTAGGATTTTTTCTTCCATGTTAACACAGAGCTTTGTTAAGATTAGTATATTTGCAGCTTTTTTAGGACATGTAAATCTTTTATTTACCTTTAGATATTTTTATCTTCTTACATTTTTCATAGCTGTTTGAAATGGACTGCCTCTATTTAAAAAAGAAAAAAGAAATTACTTCCAACTGTATGTCTTATTAGCCTCATCTTTTTTACCACCTCTCCTGACTGTCCAAACACAATCTGCTCATTTTAATGTGGCAGAGCCAAACTCGGTTGCAAGTCATTTGCGGAGCAATCTTTGTAGCTCATCCCTTACATGTCCAATTATTGCATGTTTTTAAAGATCAGGCCCTTGTTCTTTAATCTCGATAAACTCTGTTCTTAGTCTTGACTTGGTCTCAAGTTAGGTGATCTTGACTACAACACTGCCTCACACCAAATATGCATTCAGCAACAGTGAAGAGAAAAAAAAACTCCCTTTTAACGTGGAGGAAACCTCCATTAGAATCAGGCTCAGTGTGAGTGGATGTCAGAGAAGTTTGAGGCAGACAGACAAAATAAACACAGAAGCACTGATACATAAAATCAAACAATGTATTCCTTTACTCAAATGAGCTATGAGCTTTTGTTTTGTCTTTTTTTCCAGACCTCCCACAAAATTCTGTGTGTGAAGAAGAGAAGGATCCCACTAAGCTCTGCCACCAGATGGGCTGCGCCATCTTTGTTAAAGAGAAAAACAGAACCACTGCAGACAAAACAGGATTCACATAATCCCGAACATCAAGAGTTCAAAGAGGAAGAGAAGCAGCAAGCAATCTGCTCTTCATTCTGCATCAGTCAGGGGGAAGAGCTGGTTATGCTAAAACAGGAGGCGGAATCGATTGTGGTGAGTCGTCCTGATGTCCAAAAAAAAAAAACTCAATGAAAGGAACCCAAACAGGCACCTGCTCATCTCACAGGCTTCCTCTGAAGACAAAGAACCAGGAACTGGAAGGAAACGTCTTTGAAAGCCGAGGAATGAAGAGCAGAAACAAAATGAGGGATCCCAGAAAACCAAAGAGGAGAAAGGCACTGCTGACAGTTCCAATAAAAACACACCCAAAAGAACTCATACAGCTGTGAAAGCTTTCTCATGTACGACCTGTGGAAAGCATTAAAGTAAAATATATCACCTAAAACGTCACATGAGCATTCATACCGGAAAGAAGCCCTTCTTATGTACAACCTGTGGAAAGGGTTTCAGCACAAGATTTTTCTTAAAACGTCACATGAGAACTCACACAGATGAGAAGCCTTACACATGTATAACTTGTGGAAAGGGTTACGGAGACAAAAGCACTTTATTTTATCACATGAGAGTTCACACAGGCGAGAAGCCTTTCACATGCACAACGTGTAGAAGAACTTTCACTCGAAGACGTGGTTTAATTTATCACATGACCACTCACACAGTCAAGCCTTTCTCATGTATGACTTGTGGAAAGAGTTACAGCACAAAATCTCTTTTAAAACGTCACATGAGAAATCATACAGAGGAGAAGCCTTACACATGTACAACATGTGGAAAAAGTTACAGTGATAGGACTGGTTTACTTTATCACATGAGAACTCATACAGGAGAGAAGCCTTTCTTATGTGAGACTTGTGGAAAGGGTTACTGTGACAGGAGTAGTTTGCTTTGTCACATGAAAACTCACACGGGTGAAAGGCCTTTCTTATGTGAAATCTGTGAAAAACGATTTAGAACTCGATCTGATTTAACCCATCATATGAGATCTCACACAGGCGAGAAGCCTTTCTCATGTTCTACCTGTGAAAAAAAGTTTACTGTTGGAAGCAGTTTAACAAGACATGAGAATTCACACAGGTGACATGGTGTCATGTTAAGTCTGAAATGTCAAGGTGATTGGTAACTTGCTGTACAGAAGGTAAATAGGCATTTTGACTGATCTGCAAATCTTAAACGTATAGTGGAGGATGTTGTTTTTCCGGCTGGATCGTCAAAATAGGAGGTCCTCCTAATTGTCAATTATTCTGGTGATATGTTTGAGCTTATGTGAGTGATGCAAAGAGCAACTGTTAAACAGAGTGTGAGAAATTGTGTGGGCTTGTGCATGCTCTTGTATGCATTTAATAGGCCTTCCATCTTGGGAGCAGGTACAGGGTTGTGCCTGTGCATTTTTATCTAAAAGTGGTAAGGGCTGGTCTTTTCAAAAATTTGCAAAAATACTTCACCATACCTTTAAAGCAAAGACGACAGGCAAACAATTATTTTTCTCAGCTATATAAATGGATGATTAAATATAAAAGTGAAAATCAGAAGTATTTTTCAACCATGTATGTAATCAGGGTGTGTTTTAATTAAAAACAGCCTTTAATTTGTTCCCCATACCTGCACATTGCCTTGGATTCAGTTTACTTTTTTTTTGTATTATTTGTAAAGTGACCTTGAGTGTCTAGAAAGGCGCTGTTAAATAAATTGTATTATTATTATTATTATTATTACTATCCCATGTGTTCATAACCATTTAAGTAAAGCAGATTTTCCTTGAGTTGCTGGACTTCTCAGACCTTGTCTTTGTCAATTAATCATAATTTTGCCATTGTTAGTACTAGCATATTTAAAATTAATGTGATCATAAATTATTCTTTTTCTATCGTATTTTCTGATTAAGGAAGCAAATACTGCTGACTATGATGGCAACAACACAGGCATAAGATTTATCAAGACATGATAAAACCTGAGATGTTTTATCTAATGTAAGCTAATGTAATGCTAATCTAAATTGTGCAGTTATCTGCCTTTGTGTTTCTTTAATCCATCACACAAAGTTTTTAAGAAAATTTGTTTTTTGGGGGGATTTTTAGAAAATGTGTTGATGATACAGATTGTAAGAAATGTCTAAGAATGAATCTATTATTCTCTTTTTAGTTACATTCCTCTTTCTCTTTGGGTTATTCTGAATCACTTTAAAGGTGTTTAAAAGGAGTATTATTTTAAGGTGAAATAAAAAAATAAAAAATGTCAAAATTTGTTCATTTATTAAAAAACTATTTTGAATAAGAAGACATAGAAATGCTAGTTAACTCTAGTTATTTAATTTAAATATATTACTATCTATATATTTCAGGTTGGTTTGGAGAAATTTACAGAATACAGATTTTTGCATTTATTCAGGTTATCAACTCTGAAATATTTATTTTATCTAAACAGCTGACGTAATTAGGTGGGGCATACTTTCTTAAAAGCACAGACCATTATCTGTACAGATAATGGTCTTTTGACTTGATTTGTGCTATTTTATTAGAAATTGCTTTGTTACTCTTGTGTAAAAAAATAAAAGATAATTTAGAAATTGAGAATAAGATATAAAGTCAAGTTTGACCTTATTTGATTAGTGGATCCTTGCTTTAAGCATTTTTAATGACAGGCTCAATAAGTGCAACAATGTTAGGCCGGGTGTAAGCAATCCAGGTAAACGCATGTCCGCAGCTTTCTTTGAGACCAACATGTCAATAACAGTTAATTGCAGCAAATAATAGCATATGTGAATACCTGAATAGCCTAAAATATACATTCTGTAGCTACTTCTTGTAACTCAAAAAAACAAACAAACAAAAAAACCAGACCTTAGGGGATGTTTTTTTTTTAGGGGGAACAAGGAGCTAATCATTAAGGTATAGTGTTAAAATGTTTACCTACCATACTATCAGACCTGCTAAATTAAGCCAGCTATTTTTAGTGGCCACAAAATGTAATATACCAGCTATTAAAGTTGCAGCTTTAAATGTATTGTTGTGACTACTGTTTTGCTATTGTTTATTGTATGTTGAAAGAAATGCATAAAAGTAAAAAAAAAAAAAAAAAAAAAAAAAAAAAAAACAACAAGTAAACAATCAAGCTATTCATTCTGATGGCAATAAGGCTCATCTGTAAGTTTTTAAACAGTCAGACTTATGCAATAATTTTAGGAATTTGTCTTATGCCCACTTGTTTGTATGAAAAATATTTTTACTAGTAATTTTGTTTTTGTCTTTAATACCATGTTTTCCTTAGATTTAAAGAAAAATCGTCATTTATAGTATTAAAGAAAAACAAATTATAAATAAAATAATATTACTATATTTCATGAAGTATACATGTGTATACACAAATTTAATATTGTTTTATAAAACACAAACGATTTTCCTAGTGGAATTAGAAATTCAAAGCGGAACAAATATTCAGGGACAGTTTCTTCGGAACAGATATATTGAAACACGGGACACACTCACGTTGGTTAGAAGTAGTTTTTAAGACAGGTTTGTTTTCTTTTATTTAATTTGTGTGTTTAAAGTAAAAATGTATCCACTTCAGCCTAATGAAGATGATAGCAGTGAACAATTAACTGCTGCCGAAGACATTATCAGTGAGTATAAAGTCATAGCCATGAAGTCCGAGGATGAAATCGCTGGGTGTCGACAAGAACTGGATTCCAGCCGGATCATTTTACATCGAATAGGTATGAAAAACCACGTTTAAACGTTGATTAGGTGGTAGCGGTGTGTTATAGATGCACCTTGAAGCATTACCAAAACTGTATTGATCCTGCATTGATACTATCTCACAGAATACCGGCACGTGCTGGATTAAAGACAATACTCCCACGAGGGGCCCATGTGGGCTGGTGAGTGGGCCCCAGCTGGGCAGCCCAGCTTGTCCGCGGGTTCCATTGGGGCCCCTTGTGGACAAGCCCCATAAGGCCCCACACTTGCAACCCAGTTTTCTCCCACATGGGACCCACACTGGACCCTGGGCTGATTATGGGTCCTTATTATGTCCTACACAAGCTAGCCTTTATTATTACAGGCTATTTAATTTTGGAATGGGTTCTTTTTTTGTTTTATTATTGTATTATGTATTATTTTCTGAGAATGCTGCTTGTCAAGACTTTGATGCAATCAACTGTGAGTTGCCTCTATCCACTATATAAAATAAAAATGCCATGTCATTATTCAAGCTTTTTTTATTAAGTCAAATGGAATAAGAATTTTACAGATTAAATCAGATGCATAATACACATACACAATATAATACAGATTATAACCAGTGTTATGCCCAAAAGTGCATGCCTGCCGAAATATGCATCCCAAGTCGCGGGAGCGCGCCTCGCTCTGTTGAACTGCATATCGACGAGGAAAACGGATTAAAATATGTTCAATGGAGCTTAGGTTCTTATATTAATGATATAAAAACGTTTAAAAATACCTCTCGTGGCAAAAAAGTTTTGGTTATTTGGCAGATTAATTTACAAAAGTACGGATTTTTTGAACAACATTAAATCCAAAGATTTTGACCATGGTACGGCTGATTTATTTGTTTTGGTCTCTTGCTATTTACACACAACACTAAACCGTGATAGCCGAAGTGAGTTTTGAGTTTGCAAAGCTTTCTCTTAAGTGTAAAATCAAACGCGCACCTACAAAGCACAGCGTTCACAGACCAGTGAGATGCGTTCGCTGCGCGTCAGAAAGCTATGGTGCATTCAGGAGCATTGGAACATTTTAAACTTACAAGAATGAGGCATTAAACAGAACTGTATTTTTACTGAACTGTATTGTATTTTTTTTTGTTTGTTTATGCACATCTGCTAGCTTTTTATTCTAAAAAATCTATAATATTACACCAGCGATATATCAAAGTTTTTCAAAATCCTGTTTAAAAGCTCCAAATGGGGCTTCAGATCATATGAAGCAACAATTGCACTGTCATTGTTTTACAGGGCAGTATTTGCATTTGCTGATCCTTGTACTTAATTACTGATGAATATACAGGAATACAGATGTACAAGTGTCAACTCCTCTGAGATAGCAGGGGATGGAATTTTTGACAAAGACCTGCCAAAAAATGCATCCCCCTTGTTTTTAACTTAAAAATTGTCCCACACACATGAAATTCACACTGGTAGCTCAGCACACATGTGGAAGCAGGTAGAAATTGAAACATCAGCTACAAATCTATATTTCTGGAAAAAAACAGGGGATGCAATTTTTGGCAAGGACCTGCCAAAAAATGCATCCCCCTTGTTTTTAACTTAAAAATTGTCCCACACACATGAAATTCACACTGGTACCTCAGCACACATGTGGAAGCAGGTAGAATTTGAAACATCAGCTACAAATCTATATTTCTGGATAAAAGTAGGGGATGCAGTTTTTGGCAAGGACCTGCCAAAAATGCATCCCCCTTGTTTTTAACTTAAAAATTGTCCCACACACATGAAATTCACACTGGTACCTCAGCACACACGTGGAAGCAGGTAGAATTTGAAACATCAGCTACAAATCTATATTTCTGGATAAAAGTAGGGGATGCAGTTTTTGGCAAGGACCTGCCAAAAATGCATCCCCCTTGTTTTTAACTTAAAAATTGTCCCACACACATGAAATTCACACTGGTACCTCAGCACACATGTGGAAGCAGGTAGAAATTGAAACATCAGCTACAAATCTATATTTCTGGAAAAAAGCAGGGGATGCAATTTTTGGCAAAGACCTGCCAAAAAATGCATCCCCCTTGTTTTTAACCTAAGGACCTACCAAAAAATGCATCCCCCTTGTTTTTAACCTAAGGACCTGCCAAAAAATGCATCCCCCTTGTTTTTAACTTAAAGATTGTCCCACACACATGAAATTCACACTGGTAGCTCAGCACACATGTGGAAGCAGGTAGAAATTGAAACATCAGCTACAAATCTATATTTCTGGATAAAAGCAGGGGATGCATTCTTTGGCAGGTCCTTAGGTTAAAAACAAGGGGGATGCATTTTTTGGCAGGTCTTTGCCAAAAATTGCATCCCCTGCTTTTATCCAGAAATATAGATTTGTAGCTGATGTTTCAAATTCTACCTGCTTCAACATGTGTGCTGAGGTACCAGTGTGAATTTCATGTGTGTGGGACAATCTTTAAGTTAAAAACAAGGGGGATGCATTTTTTGGCAGGTCTTTGCCAAAAATTCCATCCCCTGCTATCTCAGAGGAGTTGACACTTGTACATCTGTATTCCTGTATATTCATCAGTAATTAAGTACAAGGATCAGCAAATGCAAATACTGCCCTGTAAAACAATGACAGTGCAATTGTTGCTTCATATGATCTGAAGCCCCATTTGGAGCTTTTAAACAGGATTTTAAAAAACTTTGATAAATTGCTGGTGTAATATTATAGATTTTTTAGAATAAAAAGCTAGCAGATGTGCATAAACAAAAAAAAAAAAAATACAATACAGTTCAGTAAAAATACAGTTCTGTTTTATGCCTCATTCTTGTAAGTTTAAAATGTTCCAATGCTCCTGAATGCACCATAGCTTTCTGACGCGCAGCGAACGCATCTCACTGGTCTGTGAACGCTGTGCTTTGTAGGTGCGCGTTTGATTTTACACTTAAAGGTACACTATGCAACCGGTGTTGATTTTCCAGTGAGGCTCCCTCCAGAGGGCGAAAGTAAAAGTGCACTGTCGTAAATATGCACAGCTGTTCTCCTGGTTTCTCCGTCAAGCCAGGCGCTGTTGTTTTGAGCTTAGCAGCGAATGACTAACGCTGCGTTCACACTGGACGTAGCTGGCGCGACAGAAGCAGCGAGTTTACATGCAAAGTCAATGGTTGACGCGCGTCAAGGCGCAGCAAAAGGTCCCGCGGCGCGTTTTGAGCTGCAGGCGCAGCACGTCTGAGCGGCTGCAGCAGCGCGTCGGGTGCGTTTAACGCAGGGAGAGAGACACAGCGCTGATGATCACTGCTCTTAAACAGTTTATTGACGCCTAAATTAACTGAAAATGCAGAAATCTGCCGGCAGAATATGCAGTTTGGATTATTTAGATGAAAAACACCTACCAGCTGCCTCGGTGAACCGCTGCTGATGAAGGGATCCATACTGTCGGCGCATCCCTGGTATGTGGGGGTCTGAGCGTCTCCGACAGAAAAAATATTGAAGGCAGGATAATAATCTGAATGAACGGACTGCACTGATTACGTTTTCAGGTGTATTTTCTCACTTAAACACATATTAAAACTACTTTATTCCCACTGATCACAGCAAATATAGCTGCAAGGCAGAGAAAGGATAGTGAAGCTCCGCCCAATGCGCCTCAGACACACTTTTGCAGCCAGAGCAGCAAAGCTGCTTCAGCCGCGCGTCAGAACTAACTGGTACAAGCAGCAAAAATGAAGCAGCAGACACGATTTTGCTGCTTTTGCTGCGTGAACGTAGCATAACTGCACAAAGATTGCCACTGTGCTAGCAACGAGAATGCTTTTAACTGGGGGGGTGTAGCAGTTCTCACCGTAAAGCAAGACTGACTCTCACGAGACTTCTGAGCCTGTGGGTGCGGGTCGGTGCTCCTGCAGTTGCAAGTGCAGTATTTCCCCCACAGACCACCAGGGCGGCCGAGAATACCTTTGTTCAACCTGAAATGACTCATTTAGTCATCCATAACGTTATGGAACACATTAATTAACTGAAAAATGTTGCATAGTGTCCCTTTAAGAGAAAGCTTTGCAAACTCAAAACTCACTTCGGCTATCACGGTTTAGTGTTGTGTGTAAATAGCAAGAGACCAAAACAAATAAATCAGCCGTACCATGGTCAAAATCCTTGGATTTAATGTTGTTCAAAAAATCCGTACTTTTGTAAATTAATCTGCCAAATAACCACAAGTTTTTTCCCACGAGAGGTATTTTTAAACGTTTTTATATCATTAATATAAGAACCTAAGCTCCATCGAACATATTTTAATCCGTTTTCCTCGTCGATATGCAGTTCAACAGAGCGAGGCGCGCTCCCGCGACTGGGGATGCATATTTCGGCAGGCATGCACTTTTGGGCATAACACCGCCTTCGTTCTCAGTCGCGTCAGTTTGCAGCCTTCCAGCTTCGTCCTGGGTTGCTTCCGCTTCCTCCTATTTCTCTGTTGTCATTGGAAACGCGCAGATAATTGTAAACAAATCTGAAGAATTCACTAAATAATGCTTCTGTGTAAATGTTTTAAATAGCGTTTGTTTGACGGGGATTAATAAATTGATAAATAAATAAAAAATGTTTATGAACATATTATGTTACCGCGGTTTCCACCGTTTATTTTTGCATGTTGCATGTTTTTGCAGGTACATTATTTGCAATAATGTACCTTAACTTCATTGAGCAATTACTTATTAACATATTATGTTACCGCGGTTTCCACCGTTTATTTTTGCATGTTGCATGTTTTTGCAGGTACATTATTTGCAATAATGTACCTTAACTTCATTGAGCAATTACTTATTAACATATTATGCTACCGCGGTTTCCACCATTTATTTTTGCATGTTGCATGTTTTTGCAGGTACATTATTTGCAATACTGTACCTTAACTTCATTGTGCAATTACTTTCCACTGCACTTTAATTTGGAGAGCTTCTGCCAAATTTTAATTCTTAAACTGCTATATTGCACATTTTAGCCTAACTTATGTATATCTATTTTTAAAAAT